AGCAGTTGAAATTTTTTATCCTGTCCACTGCAGATAGGAGATGAATTCTATTTTATAAAGCCCTTGTAACTTTATTAGCCCACAAAATATAAAAGTTTTTAGAATTTTTTTTTTTTTCAAAGAGAAAGATTTAAGAAAACTATGTAATATTTTTCTTTTCTTAATACAGTGATAGCTTAAGTAGATTGGAAATAACTCCCAATAGATCGTGAGTAACGTATCATCACGTTTTTGTTTAGACTTTATGGCTCTTTTCTTTGGTGTTAAGCCTTCTTCGTCTAAAATTATTAATAATTTTTAAGAGGAATTTTAATGAGTCTTATAAAATATGTGAATAATAAATGAATACTTTATCCGTCCCATAAAAATATTCATATTTTTCTTTTTCGTTCATTCCAAATTATAGTCATGATTATTATTTGAGAGTATATTTAATATATTAGTTTCATAATATGTCCCTATTCAATGTGCTTTGTTATCTCAAATATAATTTAATAACCTTGATTATTATTATTTATTTTTTATGACGGGGGAATCCGCAATCGCTACCCTTCGAGTGCACATTGGGTAAACTCTCGAGCTGACGTAATAACCTGCAAATCACGCCAGTCAGGTAAACCGCACTAGATATACCCCGTGCAACATGCTCGACTGAGAAAGTGTTGGTAAGGAGAATCGAACTCATGACCAAAGACCTCTACGCCCACCTACTCCACCAACTCGACCATCCCATGAGGGACATAATGACCTATTGATTGCATTAATGTTGGAGTATGTTAAGAAAATGATAGTAAAATTTATTATTTTAATTATATTAACTAAATTTTTTTAATATGTGTGGGAAAAATAGGACTATTTTTAAGGACGGAGGGAGTAATAGTTATGAATGTGCGACTAAAATTAATGTTTGAATTTGACTGAGGGGAAGTGCTACATATACATAATTGTCTACATAATGGTGTTCATAATTACACGTGGTACTAGATCTAACCTTTAATTTAAATTTCACACTTACACATCAATAATTGGATGATTGCCACATCACATTATGACACCATTATGTGCAATAATTATGTACAAGTAGAATTTTTCTTTGACTGAGTAAAAAAGGAAAATATTACTCCCTCCATCTCACAAAGATAAGGTTGCTTCAATTTTTACACAAATTAAGAAAACTTAATTAATATTGTTGGAATTATAAATTCCACTTGTGTTTTTCTTGATATATCCCTCCATTGAATCATCATATTTCATACTTATTGATAACAAGATGCACTAAGCTCCTGTGTGATGGCCCTTATAAAGAGAAATTGGGAGAAAATAATATTTTAGATATTGATTTTTTAGAGAATATGTAATTAAAAAGCATAAAAAATGTAGATTTACGTGCGAAATATCAATCGTGTAAATATGTGGTTAAAAATGAGTATGACAATTAAAGAATTTTAATTTAAAGAGAGCCAAACATCAAACATGAGCTAAATAAGGAGAGATTAAGAAATTAACCATACTGCAATAAGAAAAGTGATTTATAATTTGGGATAAACGAAAAAGAAAAGAGTCTACTTTAGAATAGTATAGTAATGTTTCGAAAAGCACGAGCAAAGCATAAATAAACACGAGAAGTTTATACATATTTTTTCTGATATCTAATTTGTGCAAATTCCACAAAAGAAGGTGAAAATGTTATTCTCTCCAAAAAGAAATGTATAAAATATTGTAAAAAAAATTAACAAATGATGGTTCTATGGTGTAGTGGTTAGCACTCTGGACTTTGAATCCAGCGACCTGGGTTCGACTCCCGGTAGGACCTTTTTTCTTTTATTTATTTAGTAAGAGCCAAAAAACATAAGAGCCTGTTTGCTAAGGTTAAAACGTTTCTTAACAAAAAAGGTCATTCTTTTTATGGTTTAAATTTTGAAGTTAAATGATTTCAAATTGTAACTTGATCCCTCCATTCTTAGAAAACAATAAAAGTGCCCAATAACTACAAATTTATAAAAAAAAAAAAAAAGACAATGAAAAGGTATATAAAAAATGATTATTATAATAATAAAGCTAGTTAATCCATCTCCATCATTCTTCCCAAATTGATGAAGATTTGTCCTTGAATCTTATTAGAAAAATACACTTGTCTATAAGTTTATTAGAAAAATATCTACAAACTCAATAGCTTGTGCTAATTCGACCTCTAAATGAATAATCTTGACATGACATTGGATTAACGCTCATATATTCAACGACAAATTTAGAATCGCAGTATAGAAACTTAGCTTTTGGAAATATTCACCGTGTTTAGTTTCTATATCTATACTTATTGTCACTTCATAAGTAACTTTTTTTTTTTTTTTTACAAGCAATAACAATTATGTCGTTGCTTGATTTGGATTAAAATCAAAATTTTAATGTAAATCAAAGTTAACAATTAATTTTAACCACATATTTTATTGGATCTACAACTTTTCAACTATACATTATATCAACTTTTATTAAAATCTATAAATAATGAAAAATAATAATCTAATTTTAATTTCTACCGAGGGGAATTAATAAGATCAATGTGTTATGGCATCTAATATTAAGTTATTAAGAAGCAATATATAAATTCAAATAGGTTGGAGGAGAATGTTAAAATGGATACGAGGTGAGAATAAAATTTGCACAATATACTTAAATTCACAATGTCCAATATAATCAACATTCAACAATTATAAATAAGAAGACACTAGGCTTATTTATCATATCTCAATTACCTAATCAATAATAACAAATTAAAATTTTCTATTGTGCTTACGAAGATTCATAAGAAACATTTTCTCGTATGGATTATCAAAATAAATGAACAAGATATTCAATCCTTTAACGAGAGGAATTTATCTGAAAGATCAGCTTATCAATAAATCAAGAAAGAAAAGATGTCAAGTAGGAGCAAGAGGATCATATGAATGTTCGTTCAATATTCAGAAGCTCAAAATAGTATGATGACAACAAGGACAAGGAAACTCAACGTGGTAAAACAGAAATACAATAGTTGAATCTAAAAGATACGTCTAATTTATGAGGTCATCCAAGAGGGATAAACTATAAAATAAAATAAAAATAGTACGTGACTTTGAGAAAAATATTAAAATAGCATGCATTGCATGTAGCCTAGAACTAGTTTTATATTTAGAAAAGAGCTTAAATATTATACTTTCAAATGACACAAACTATTAAAGCAACTTAAGTTTAAATTCCTTTTTCATAGTATAGAAAATACTTTTAGTTATACTTCTTTACTTAGACTTCTTTTGAATAACAAATGCATCGATTTTATATTTCATGCGTTGAGAAATCTTCTCCTCGTTTGTCTTCACAAGTGCTTTGTTGGAGGTATTATTTCCCTATTTGGTAGGGAATAAAATCATTTTTTTAGTAAATTTCAATAAAAGTAAATGAAACGTGTGGTTGAAAAATTGTGGATCTCACAAAATATGTGATTAAAATTAATTATTGACTTTAACTTAAATTAAAATCTAATCCATACCAAATGGTTCTCTTCCTTTCAAATTAAAATTAGTCAGACACAATTTTTATGATGAAAATCAAAGTTGAATAAAAGCAAAAGAAAGAATTCAACTAGATATAAATATTGACAACAATAATAATTTTATAAAAAATTAACTTTGGTAGTGGTCTTATAGAAGAGAACTAATGGAAAAGAGGAATTCTAAATAATATTTTTTAAGAGAAAATAATCCCATATCGAATAAACATAAATACTTATACAACATATAAGAATTTAAGCTACTCAACTTAATAATATTAATATTTCAAAATAGAAACACAAGTCTTAATAGATGTATGAGGAGTTTTAAAGCAGTAGTTAACAAAAATAATCATATATACACACACACACACATATTGTACAAGTCAACCATTTCTTGTAAAAAATACAATGTAATTTTGACTTTAGTACGAAAACATTTGTGCTCCGAAAACCTGCAAGCAGTCCGTAGGCGTAGTAGAGGAAAAATTCATTACGGTCGAATGAGAGGTAACTATTTTCAACCAACGAGGAGAAATTATTCAACGAAGCCAACTCGATATGTTAGCTACACCTAGGGCTGGGCAAATCTCTCGAATCGAACTCGACGATTTTTGTCAAATTAAATATCCGAACGGGTATTTGAATTGAGAACCGACGGGTATAGTTCGGTTCTCGGTTCTAGACCAAGAATCGAAGAATCTAATAAGAACCGAATCTTTCTAATTTTTTTTATATTAAATAAATCAAATTATTTTAATTTTAATTTTTTCTAAACAAATTAACAATTTCAAATCCAAAATTTTGGCCTAATAATTTGTTTTATTTCTAATTTTTTAATTTTTGACCAAATTACTCATTTTATTTTTCATATCTTAGCCGAACAAGATCCAACCCACTAAATAACCATAAACAACTACACTAAAGTGCATAACGCTGTTTTGACTCTCGCAGTTTCGCTGATATTCCAAAACCTATTCAATCGTCGACCGACACTATGACCTCCGAGCCAACCGAAATTTTGACCATAGTGATCATTTGAACAAGGTAGTTTACCAGTTTCTGACATTTCAAAACCATTGAATGTGTCATTAGTTGTATTTATATAATGTTATAAATGTTAAAAAATTTAATTATGGTACAGAACCGAACGGAATCGAACCCGATCGGTTCCATAATTATATTTGGACTTGACGATTCCATTTGCTAAATATTCGAATCGACTCGCGCCCACCCCTAGCTACACCTGAATGACCTGATCGCCTTAGTCTACTCCCAGTAATTGAATTATTTTAATGCAAAATAACATTATCTGGTAATCACCATTTTTTCTCCTTTTTCATTCACCACAAATATATTTAAATTTTTTTCTTGCAGGTATAAATCGTCAAACCCCTTTCTTAACCTCCTAGATTTTGCAGATTCCGACACTGTAACTTTTTTTTTTTTTGGCAAAAATCGACCCTTTAATAAGTCAGGACTGTAACTTCCTTTTTCTTTTTTGGCAAAAATCGGCCCTTTAATAAGTCAGTATTTGTTGCTCGTATTCAGGTAATTTTTCCAATTTTATTTGACCTATTTTCGGACTTTTGTCCTTGCATTTACATGCATCCCTGAAATCATTTTTCTTGTAGGTGGGTTTCTTGGCTAAGATTTCTGGGCAGATGCTGAAAGTACTGAATTTGAGCTGAGGTTAGAATTTGGGGGCTGAGTTCAAGATTATTCCGATCTGGCCCAGTTCATGCTTGTTTATTTTGAAGTCAAACTGTATGTTTTCTTTTAATCAAAAATTGATCTTATGGGGTCCTTGAAGAATCTATTCTGAGGGGAAATTTGTGCTTGTCCTGTGTATTTATGAGGAAAATGAAGTGGTTTTTTGTTCTAATACAGCATGAGCTTGGGTTTAATGGAACTTTGATATAACGAATGCAGGTTCACTTGACTATCATGTGTTACTTTAGTTGGATTTTTAACTCGTAGCTTTAAAAATTTTGGAAATTAGGTGGTATTAGTGTAAGATGCTTTGTGTATATATTACACTTATTTCCCTTCATTTCTTATAATTTTTTATTTATTGTTTATTTTTTTGTACTATGATGTGGTATGAATGATACTCTTTTTTTCGTTTGTGTTTTGCTTGTTTCTTGATGTTGGTTTTCTTCTGGCACCAAGTATGATCTGGTTTTATTGCATATAATGTGTCTTCTTTAGAAATAAACAATTTAAAGAAGTTCAAATACATGTGATTCTTTTAGTTACGAAGTAGATGAATTACTATCAATTTCTTTCTTTTTCTTCGCTTCTATTTCGAGGGGATGAATGATGACCACTGGTGAGTAAGAAACTCATAACTAAACTTCATATTGAAAATGTCAAATGTTTCAACAATCACAAGGTTTGCATATTGGTCCTTGAGTTTCTTACTTTTTCTGGAAGCTTTGTAGTTCTTTCTTGCATAACTTGGAGATTATCATACCTGAACAACTGACATATGCAGAATAAGCAACCACCTAAAATGCCTCCTAACATAAATAAAGAAGCAAGAAACCACAGTTAAAAAGTATGTTACTTAACTAGTCAAAGTGGACTGTCTACTCTAAAACTTCCCTGACAATCACAAGCGTTGAGCTCTACTTACTAAACTATATCTTCTCGAGTCAAGTGGATCATGCATGAAGTAGTCAAACCCATCTACTACTTATACAATCAGCAACACATGGAAAGAAGAAGTACTACTGCAAAATGAAAATGGGTTAGATGCTATCGTTTCCTTCTCCAAGTAAGATTCAAATTTACAACCAATCAGTTAATAGCTGACTGCTCTATTCTAAGCTATTAAAGAAGAATTGGAGATTAGATCTCATCTCAGTTTTAGCATTCTAGCTTCCTCTTCGACATGAAGCGCTTAATGTTTCCCAAAGTTGATCTTCTGATTCGACAGCTCAAGCACATATTCTTTTTTTAAATTCATTCAATTCAATATCAGATTATTCATTGCACCAATTCATCCATTATCTTCTGGATGAGCATCAATGAAGTTGATGATAAATACAGAAGCTCTGATTAATCGGGTAGGAATCATTGAAACATCAAACCACCTCCACCAATATGGGTATGCCTGTTTGCCTAGTCTCTTTGAAGTTGATGCTCTATTCAACAATAAAATATATTTTTGCATGACTATCTTATGTACTATACAATCAGTTCTTTTTCCTGAATTTTACTAAAGGTTTGTTTCAAGCTAGTGCTAATTGATGAGAGTTACTTCAGGAAGGGAAAAGGAGTGAATCAAATTCATTTATGTGCTCTCTGAGTTCCAATGAATGCGTCCCAATCAAGTATGAGCTGGAGATCCGAAAATTTTGATGGTAACACTTATAAGAAGTTCTCAAAAAATGTTGAGGCTTTAGATCCAGATAATACAAGCTGATAAGGCAGTTATTGCCCTTGTGAGGAACTATTTATTTTTAAAATATCCTAAGTCCTAACCTTAGATCCAACAAGTCACAAGCTAATCACAACATTTATAATGTCTCCAGATCAAGTATGAGCTGGAGATCAGAAAATTTTGTTCGAAACTCTTATAAGGAGTTCTCAAAGAATGTTGGGGCTTTAGATCCAGATAATACAAGCTGATAGGTTGTTACTATTCCTTGTGAGGGATTATTTATTTTTAGAATCCTAAGTCTTAACCTTAAAAAATCCAACAAGTCACAAACTAATTAAGTAATTAGAATTTATACTGCAACATGCCATTTTAATTCTTATTTCTCTAAGAGTTTGGGCCACTATATATAAACTGAGACTAAGGTTGTCAATGATGTATGTATACCTTGCAATGGAAGTACGGTGCAATACTTAAGCTACTAATACGTTTTAAAGATTTTGGCCTCAAGATTGGTCAAGCTGTCAATTTCCTTGTTGCTGCTCTTTATTCAGGCCTTCCATTAGATTTGTAATAAACCATTTATGATGATATCACTTGTTCGATTGCGGCTGATATTGAATTTCAGAATAAAAGATACCTATTTATTCCTGTTGCCATTAGCAGGTGAAGACTATGATTCTCACAAAGCAATACCGCTGCATACACTCGGCAAGTTGTCTGTGCACTAAAGGGCATCTCAGTGAAGAAGTCATTTTCCTAGTTTTTCACCACTTAAATTGGAACCCTGTATTGATTGCAACGCTTTCTTGTGCATGCAAATGGTTCGATGATCTTGCTAAGCGAGTCCTGTGGAAGGAGTTTTGTAGGACACGAGCTCCTAAGATGACGCTTGATTTGCAATCTAGTGGGAGTCATAGCATAGATGGGAACTGGAGGGCACTCGGGAAACTGCTAATATACTGTTCTGGATGTAGCAAGGGTAACTTGTTCAATAACCTTGACGTTCCCGGCCACTTTGTCCATAGGACACGATTCTCAAGGACGTCCGGAAAAAGCTTTCTGTTATCACAATGCAGAACAGATGTTTTGTATGTGTCTGATCCTTGTGAACATCTTGACCAAGGGGATGAAGGGGACATTGGATTCTTTCGTGGAATATTTCAATGCTTTGCAATGTCAAAGGTAAGGAAAAAGCTGATTGACAGAGGCGCTCCACTTCATCCTACAGAGGTGTGTCCCTATTGCAAGGCAAAGTTGTGGAACATGCTACAAGCAAAGATGATACCATCGAGTGCCAGCTGCCGGTTAGGTGCTTATGAGGACTGCATTGAGTATTATGTGTGCCTTAATGGGCATGTGCTTGGTACTTGCACCCTCTTGCCCTTGTCTGATACAGAAGAAGCATCTGAGGAGTGACATTTTGGGGGAATTCAGGTACTTTTTTTTCTCATTTTAAATTTATGTTCAATTTCGACATTCCCAACATGTTTGATAAGCAGTATTAGACATGACTGGAGAACATTACAAACAATATTTTCTTTTTTCATTATTTAATGTTGTCCGGTCAAATTCTGTATACCAAACACGCACTCTATGTTCTCAATTTTCCTTCCAAGATGACATTCTTTATTGCTTTCTCTAGGAGAGGGGGTTGGTTTAATGCTCATTCATTGACAGACATGTGAAAATAGCACTCATCTTGGGAATACTATTTTGATGTCACTTAGACACTTAGTACTTTTATTCAATGATTTGGCATGATGATACTATTCCACATTGCCCCTCCATGCCAATGATGTTGGATTCTACCGAATTAATTTGCTTTTCTTCTACATCTTATCTAATAAATGATAACTTTATTTACCAGTTGTGCAATATCAGTATATTGATGCAATTGTCTTGTGGAAACTTGGTGGATGAGAAGTGAGTTTGCATCACATGGAGTTCAGCAGAATCCCTCTTTGAAAGTTGAATTCCAATGTAAAGTATATCATTTCCTTCCAATTGACAGTTTGCCGTTAATAACAAGTTTGTTTCCTTCATTGTTAGTTACAAGATTGTTATATAAACTATGTTGTCCGTATGTACATTGTATAACCTCCAAAATGTATCAGAAATTTGAACAATGATCTGTAACATTATACACAATGGGCCGCTAAACTATCTATCAGTTTCAACTTCTGAGAATTGATATTTGCCCATCATTGCTACAGTTTCAGTCATCCTCGTTTATTCTTTTCATTTTCTTGTTTGGTTCCTTGTAATCTCTCTCTATATATATATATATATATATATATATATATATATATATACTGTTGATTGGCAAATAAAGCCTGCTACTATTATTATTTTGAAATTGCTTCAAGTTTGGATCCTAATTCAAGTTCAAGGTATGTCTTAAATATAACCTCTTCCAGCTAAGAAGCCACCCGCATGAATCTCATTACATGTGACTTGCATGTTTGGTAAAGTGAATTAGACAGGATTAATAAAGAAAAATAAATTTTGTCCATTGTACTGTGATATCTTGTCTATTTATGTCCAAAAAGTTCATCACAATTAGGTTCTTGCTTCTTAGAAATATTACCTACAATCTGTTTGCGTCTCATTTGGTGGTTTGTATGATACAATCGAGTTGTTGTGATCAATATGTAGGACAAATAACACTGATAAATTCGGGTTCAACTGGGATTTAGGAACAAATGTCCTGACATGGCTGGCAGCTAGAGGCAGTGTTTTAAAAATGTCTATCTAGGTGGCGCGTAGTCATGAGATGTGGACAAAACGCTTTGTTTTGACAGTAAGCGTGAATTAATCAGTCAACTAGGTGCTCTTCATTATTATTATTATTATTTTATTTTCTTCCCTTTTTTAAATCCTTTTACTTGACTTTAGTTTATCAATTTTTTTTATTGTTTTTGTTCTTCAAAACGCTTTTATCTGACTTTAGTTTCAAGTTTTTAAAGGACTTTATTTATATAAAAGTCAAAAATGACTTTGTTCGTTAAAGATATAGATAAGATTTAAGCTATAATGCTATCTATTGTGTAATTATTGTTTTTAGAATTATCATTTTGTTAGAAATGTCGAAAGTACATATAAAATTCCTATAAATCTATCAAATATGATTTGTCTAGTTGAAAGTTAAAACCATAAAAAAAAAAGGTCGACTTTTACATTTTGAAAACTTGGAAATTGTATAATTGATTAATTGCAGAAATTATTAAGTAAATATAATATTTTATAATTTTATATGTTTGGAATGTATTATTTTAATTATTAAGCTCCCGTTAGGCCTCCAATCTTTCCAAATTTTAATGGTTGGAATATTATTTTTTTTGAAAAATGAATGGTTGAAAAAGAATGATTTTTTTATTTGCGTGTAATATTATTTTATAGAAGCTTGTGTGGTCAAAAATAAGAGAGAAAGAATGAGAAGAAGAATGAGGATCAAACGAGGGTTAAATGTTTTTTAGAATAATTAAGTATTTATAATAATAATAATAATAAATGCCCCTTTTTATCATTTAGAAAACTTCAAGCTTAATCATGCTTTACACTTTTTAGTCCCCTGACCAGAGGTGTGAAATGGACAAATCATGGTGGCGACGGACTAGACATGTCAATAGTAAATGAGGACTATGCGGAGCAATGTTTTTGAAAGATTTCTATACAAAAACAAATCAAGGCGGCCCTTTGCCATTGAAACTCCAATGTCACATGAATGGTCTATTGGAAAGCGTTTGTCACTGGAAATCCAAACTACAAATAGTGAAAGTCGGTGATCCAAATTATATGGGATTTCTGGTTCTTAATAAAATATGAAGTTAGAATTGTGGATATAATTTTCCCTTCAATTTGGAATTGGTGTTAATTTCAATTAGCCTTGATTAATAACCATAATATGAGCCGAGTTGAGTCAAGATTCTTTATAGTACTTAGTATCAGTCTATCTAGCAATGTGATCGTACCAAATTGAATAATGTGACAGTGACTCTACAACCACATAAAAGGTTGCTGAGTACTAGTGGAGTTGAATGCCATTACTTTTCTATTAATCTTTGATTCCATTGTTTCCAAGCAAAGGACAAGCAATGCCAAACACACTGTGTAGTATCGCGGGGCATTTTATAGTTCTCATCAAGACTGCATACAAAGGAAATCGAAACTATATAAAACTATAGATAAGCCCTTCAATAGCTATTGTTCACGTAGTAACTCAATGGTTGGACTGCCTGTGCTCTAAGCTGCCTGGTATAGAAAAATGAAGACAAGGATCTTCTTCAGTCGATCTCTCTTTCCCATCTCAGCAATACTTTCAACCACCATATATATTTATATGACCAACATAAAAGATTTTATATGATCAATTATATATAAGAATTATTTTTCACATCTTTAATGTTTTGTGAATACTACAGAACAAAGTGACTGATATATGATCTATGATATATATATATATAGTTCTCTAACTCAATCGGGCCCTGTAAAAACCTCCATAGTCGATTTAATTAAGTAGCCTTAGACATGAACTCCGCAAAATTGGAAACTATTAAGTATAAGAGAAAAGGGAGAAAAACCATTTCTACTGCCAATGGGGAAAAAGTGCAGGAACATCACAAAGGATTGTATCCTAGCTCCATTCGTCCATGCATCAACTTGCATGATCAATGGCAATGGAAAAGATCTTCTGCCAAGCCCGTAAAGCATTATATACTTCTAAGCACTAGCATATAGGCAAGGTCCACGAAGGAGGTCAAAAATAATGTCGGTCCAACCAAAAACTAGATGCCGAGTAGCTACTCCAGAGACTTGAACAATGAATCTTATGCCCAGGCTAACAACACTGGTTCTTTTCTTTGGAAGTTGGGGACCGGCAGTAACTCAAAAATATGCATAACTATTTTGGGGTGGTTTTTAGTTTCTTTGAGCTTATCTTGAAATGCAATTGATAAAGTTATCTGCCTACTGAAGACTTCTAGCACAATCGATGGATTTTCTTCTGTCCCATCACTTCCTTGGTGCATAATTTATTTGTTTAAAACTACTCCAAGATGTGGCAATTCCTAATAAATTCATTAGAGTAATTAACATACTTGTTCCAAAATGGCCGGAGATGCTCAAAGCCAATCTCCAACCACGGTTTTGACTGGCCATTGTAGTGAATTACAGCAGCCTTTTTCACGTTTTCAATGTTTGTTTTGCTCTGATAGCCCAATCCAAGCATGTGCCAGGAAGGATCAATTGGATGAACATGACCCTTAAATGCAATCAAAGCAGGAGGTAAAGTGCCAAGCTTCCACAACGTTAGATTTGAACTCAAATTCTGCAAGAGCCCACAACTGAGTAAGAACAAAGGCATATTATCAACTAGATCACTCATCCGACAATCTCAAAATTTGAATGCATACAACTTTTTGCCTGGTTTTAATTTTAACAAGCCGGTTATTTAGACTGCATACCTTAAGCAAGAAGCGTAGCACATTTAAGTTTAGAATTATGCAACACACATTTAGACGAGTTAAAGTTGAGTGCTTAGAACATAAAAACATTTCAAGTAGATGTAACTTCCCCCAATTAAACACATGTCAAAGGGTCCAATTCGGGGGCATCTCAAAGCTCATGGAGTGTCAAGTTGTTAGTTGAAACAAAAACAAGTGAGGACCAATTGTGCAATGAAACATAGCCCGTTAGAAGTCCATAATCACAATAATGACATTTAAGGTTTAGAACTGTATAAATGACTTGCGACTCCTGCAGGTAGAAGGGTGAGCAATTCTACTTGTGCTGATGACTCCGCATCGTAATTCTATATAATATGAACCAACAAAAATAGTTAAGGTAGATAATTAACCTAGGAGGACATTGAAATATAATTAAATTTTACCTCCTTGAACCAGGCATGATAAGTGTCTCTGATGTTTGTCTTTCTCCATGCACGCAAGTCAAAAACATTCAGCCCATATGCCCATGCACATTCATCAGGATCCAAACTGTTAGCTATAAGAGGATGAGAAAAGTTGAAGTAGTTCCTAAATCTCTTAGACATTACCCACAGATCTTCACCTCTACACGTTTCAACAGCTCCATTAACTTTCCCATTAAGGTCAATTTCCCAAAGAGGGGACAAATCATGCTGAATTACAACATCATCATCAGAGAACACCACCTTGTCAAGGTTTGGAAAGAGCTGCACAGCACAATCATATAATATTCTTAGCATTTGGAATATGAAAAGATAAATGGAAGGGAGAAAAGAAAATTCCTGATCTCAGGTGTATCATATAATAGAATAAACAAGTAAATGAGGACTTGAGTGTTAACCTCAAATTATATCCCCCATGGGCTAGAAAAATGCCCATTATAATTCACACAAAGCCAACGGCATACTCCAATTGTTTTGACAAGGTTTTATTTAATCGATCATGGTCATCAAACTCTTCTTTCAAGTTTTAAAAGAGAGAAGCTTACGCAAAAATTCAGTAGTTATGCATAACAAACCACACTTGATCACTTTGTAAGATCATGAACTAGAATATATTCTAATCATTATTTTAACTAGAACCTTAGCAGAAGAAATGATCTTTGAGACCAGATGTAAATCAAACTGAATAAAGCACGCCCTGAATTCATTTATAGCTAATTAACTCTGTCACAAGTCCACAACTGATAATCAGTCTCAGTTTACTTGTTATGAATAAGATCGTTTTATTCTCTATTTATCCCTCCAATATGGTTAGGTTCCCAGCGGAGGATATAGTTTCAATCCCATATATGTTCCAGTTCTATAAAGTAGTTTTCAAGGAGCAGAGGATGGACTGAAATGTGATTGTAAGATTGTCCAATGGTGTGTTATATGTAAGCAAGAAATTCATGGGATGTGGAGAGAGAATCCTCTTATCTGCAGTATAGGTTGATTTCCGAATAGCATAGACTTCTCCATTAACATACTTTATACACGTTACATCTGATGGAAATATGTATTTAATTGCCAGCTAATTACCTCTGGGAGATATATGCGGATATGATTGAGAATTGAGATGTACTTGGGACTTCTAGCTTGTAATTTTGAGGCAAATGTCCGAGGGGTTGTACTGCTAAGATTGGCCCCAGCGACATGATTTCCATGGTAGTAATTCCAAATCCCATTGCGGTTCTCCTCAGCTTCAAGTACTGGAACATTCTCTCTTGTTAACCAATCAAACTGATGAACTCCTCTCACTTCAACAGTAGCAGGAGAGACAGGATTCAAGGCAAACCATGAATGCATGCCTGCATATGTTTTCCTGTCAGTTATGACATGGAAAACAACCTTTTCAGGATTTATAGATGAATACACAGCAGATGTGACCACAACCGAAGCAGCAAGAATGTTGTCGGTAGACAATACGAAATGATGGTACGAATTGTCAGAAAGCAAAGGAAGAAACTCCGGTGAAGGCAACTGTTTGCGTGCATGCGCATTGGAAGAGTATGCATCGGTCAACCTTAAAGAGAGGCAGTTAATGCCCTTAGGAATTGCACTTGCGGCAAAGTGTTTGTTCGTTAGCTCTGCAAACTTTGACTCCCTTATCTCCCTTTCTGATTTCTCCATCTGTCAGGCAAAGGTACATAATTTTAAGCTGAATAATATTTGTAAAACAAAGTTGAGAACACCCAAAAGTTTTAAATTCTGTATATGCCGACGCGATTATAATTATCTCAGTAACGCATGACATATTGTATGTGTATGCACGTTCAAATAAACACATGCTCTGCAAAGTAAGCTAAAAAACAAGGTTTATCATCTGCTATTTACTTCATTTTTCATCCCTTAAGATCTGCTTTTCTCTTTGTTCTTATCCATTAATCGAATACAAAGGAAGTGTGCTAAAAACATCTCCGCACAAACGAGTTTAACAAGTTATGATAAAGACAAGTTCTAACTTCAACACAATTGTGCCAAGCAAAACCTATCTTATGTCATCAAATTATTTGTTATTATGTAGCCACACATTGCATCTTTCAAAAAACCATATCTAGTTTGACTATATATTGCTATCTTTTTTCATGTTATATAATTACTTGAACAAAACTCTTACTAATTGCCAAAGGAACAGCTTTTTGCATCTTGAATGTAAATGAAAATAATAATTTGATCTTATGACCTCAATTCTTCACAACTGCAAAAAAACACACATTGTGGAAATACCCAATGCCTCAGGAAATTACATTAGGTCATTATCAAGCAAAATGAAGTGCAAAACTAAAGAGTTCATTGAATTACTAAGCAATTACTGGTTTATATATCCCTGCTTTTCAGAAGAAGCTGAAATGGACTGCTGTTTAGTCCTACTTCATTTTGGCATGCCCAAATAAAGTCGCTTGTCATATATATTGGTACAAATTTTAGTCAACATCCGAAATCATCCTCCTAGATCAACCTTATCACAAGACATGTGATTGATAAGGGTGTCAAGTCTTATTTTGATACATTAATTCGAGGGGGAAAAAATAAAAAAATAACAGGTAATTGCACACACCAATGGATTTGGGTTTGGGAAAAGTGAAGGAAGGAAAGAAGGGTGCTAAATAGACTGCAGTATCTTTTACAAGTAAAACTTGACTTGAGTCAAATGTACATTGTAAACCAAAATAAAAATGAAATTTTGAAGAGAACCAGTTGTTAGATAAAACATACCATTCCTTTCAAAATGAAAGCAAATTCCTTTGCATTGTACTTATTCTTTTTCATTTCAGAAACAAGTTGACTAAAAGACTGTGGGAGCTTCAGGATATCAGGCACTTTCTCAGAGTTCACTTGATTGAGAACCTTAACAAAATCTTTGACAGTCCTCTGCCAGAACGGTAACAATAACAAAGTTTAAGATATTCCCTCCATAGATAATTATCTCAAAATTAAAGAAAATCTGTCATATAATCCAAACTAGTATGCATAAAGTGCGACTGTCAAATGACTACAAAATTTACCCCAGAATCATCACTTCTACCAAGAAGCTTTGGCGTCAACCTTCTTCCTAAACAATCTGAAAATGAAAAATGAAAGAGAAAATTTTACACTCGAATTTCATGTAGATATGTTAATTACCATTTATATAAAAGAAGACTGTTTCAATGCAACATAAGGAAAGCACACAAAGAAAACACAAGAACGAGTATGACTGTTGTATAATACCTTAAGAGTACAAGTCCTTGAAATAAAAGAAAAGACTGTGCATTCAAATTTGCTCACACTGAACTCCAATATATTTCAAAACACGAAAAGAGCAATTTCCAATATCCCAACAAATTTACAGCAATTCCTGACCACATAACATATGACAAGAAAAACTATTAGAGGAACTCTTTCAAATTCTAAATTCAATGTGGTACTCCTTAGAATCTCGCTTGGAGGTAGTTCTTCTTCCTTTTGTTTCCCATCCCACTTGGTTCTTTCTGTTTTCTTCAAGGTTCCGTAGAGTACCAGATTGGAATCAGAAGTTAAGAAAAAATTCCTCAATACCCTCTCTAAGAGGTAGCACAATCATGAAGAATGTAGAATGACATGAAATGCAAAAATAATTATAAAAAATTGAGGTAAATTCTAGCCAATTACCAAATGAGGAGCACTTGTTGACACCCTCGAGAGTAATGACAGCTGTGAGAATGAAGACAAAGGGCAACAAAAAAGCAAGAATCAAAATGGCGTGGAAGAGCGCACGGAAGGAAATGTGACGAGGCGCAACCTTGATCTTCATCAAATCGCCCCCTCCTCCATTGCCATTGCCACCGTTCGATATCGTTATACTTCTCATGCTGGGTGAGAAGTGCAGCTGCATCTTCCTCCTCCGCAGCCGTCCTCCGCCGCTATCTCCTTCCCCCGGATCTCCCTCCTCAATTCACAATAATTAATATTATCGCTACTAACAATTCGAATAAAAGTAATCTTCTTCTTTGAGAAAAGTCTTCCGGAATGGTTGTTGAAATTTGATGATGCAGTCATCACCGATAAAAATCAACGATCCTAATTTCCGTTCTGCATATGAATTCAAACATTTTTGTGAATCGGTGATGCATTAAATGCAAGAAGGATTAATAAATCAGCGAATAATCATATTAATCTTGATAATATCTTTCTCTATTATTGCTTGCCATTTTTGATTGATAGTGTAATATTCCCGTCATTCTCTCTGTGGTTCAGAAGAGTTGAATGAGAGAGAGTATTTACTGCATGTTTGGTTACGGTCATGTTTGGAAGTGATCTTTTCACTCAAAAAATTGATTTTTTTATCATTATTTTATTATTTTAATTGTCATATTTGACTTCATCTCTCACAGGTGGACTCCACTTTTCTCCTAACGGTCAAAAAATCAATTCTCAAAATCACTTCCAAACAGGCTGTAAGGTTAAGATTTTGAATTGCAATTGGTTTGCTTGGCTGATAAGTAAGTTTTAAATAAACGTTTAAAGTTATAATTACTTAATCGCATGAATATATGAATAATTATGGGGGGGAAATCATAGCCCCCATTTTGTTTTGCCTAAAATTAATTTTCTGAAAATTAATTTTTTAATAAATTTTGATAAAAGTTTATAAAATATATATTCAAAAAAGTTGATAAAAATTATGGTTCCAAAAAGTGTGTTGCTGAAATTAATTGTTGATTTTGATTTAAATTTTTATTAACTTTATTAGCAAAATTAAACGAGGGCTATATACTTTTTGATGGATCGAAGAAAAATTAATTTTCGATTATTTTCCACAAAATGATGACGAAACGTAAAATTGGTACAAATCTTTCCAATTTCCAACTCATAAAATGGCAAAGGCAAATGGAGTTTTTGTACTCTTCCGCTAATCCATGAATATGATCTATACATCTCGATCGAGACAACTCGATAACAGACCACTTCTTTCGAGGCGTGCCCCATGTTTTTCTATTGTAATAATCCAATTGCTCCAATCCCTTTAAGAAACTTTCATTATTAGGTTGATTATAAACTTTACATGTTTTCAGTGAATCACAAACTTAGCCTCTGTTTGGCAGAATGTTTCTAGAATAAATTTTTGAAAAATGATTATTTTAGAAAATGTGTTAAGAATGTGTGTGTGTGTGTGTGTGTGTGTGTTTGGGGGGGGGGGGGCTATAAATCCATGTGCAAAATTATTTTGCCTCCGTTTGCTACCACTAAAAATTTTATTAAAATCTAAGTCAAAATCAACAATTAATAACGACATATTTCATAGGATCCACAAATTTTCAATCATATATTCAATTAATTTCTATCAAAATATTAATCTCTACCAAATGAGAGCTTTATTAAAATAATGTAGGATTTAAAATGAGCTTGAAAAAATAAGTTCTAAAATATCAGAGCCAAACATGGCTTAAAGTTATTGAAAATAACAACCCAACCCCTTATAACAGGAATTTTTGAAGTGATAGGCCTTTTGGGTGTGGGGCTGTTGAGGGAAATTGTAGAGTGCATTTTGTCAGTAGTGGATTTCTATATGTGCTTACTATGCAGAGTAATTTGTTGACAGCTTCATTTATTTTGCTTTCTTTCATTTGTGTATAAGATAAGATTGTGAAAGTTACATAAATAGGAAACATGGTTATCAAAATGTGTTCAGAAAAAGGAATTCAAGTTGTTAGTGTAGTGTAATGAATGGATATGACATGACATGATAATGAATCGACACCATATACAAGCAAAAATCAAGTCCAAGCAAGGTGATTGAATGTTAGCGAAAAGTTGACTATCAAGTATCCAACAACTAATTGATACGACAAAAAACCCCAATTTTCCCGAGAAGGGCCAACTCAAACCATATGAAGACAATTTGTTGGTCCCAAATTTGTGACTAATGTGACTCAAACTGGTTTAGAGTAAGAAAGTAAGAAACAACAAGAAATTAAACACACGAGAATTTTCGGCTAGAGGCCTCAAAGGTTCAGCGATCATTATCTAACACTTAATCCCCCATTGAGCATCCGTTAGAATTACACTCAAATCCACTAGCACAGCCCAAAACACAAGCAAGAATATCGATTACAGAAGAACATCAAGTGTTTGAAAAAAGTTCTTCCTCTCAACTCACTCTCTACCATTCCACAAAGAAATCAAAAGCTGCTCACAAATAAGGATACCTGTTATTGGTTAGTAGGCCTCAAAATTCTACTCAACGGTTTACAAGATTATCACCTAGATGGTGAATCTCTCATAAATAGCACGAAGCAAGACAGAGAATATCGAGAGACTAGGTTTCAACCACACCCTTTCAAATGACTATAGACGGCATATGTATCGTTTTCATCTAACCATGCATCCAACAGTCATAAATTGTCCATGCATCAGCCATCCATTTAATTTAAGTTACAAATGCAATAATCGTATTTAAGAAACACTATTTCTTAAATCTGGAACCTTCATTTAGATGGACTGAGCAATTGGGCCTAACAATGAAAAGATCAGTGGGCCAGCAATCAGTTTTTGGGCTCAAATTTTAGCAACCCAATCTTTACACCGTTTAAGGGTGGAAATTACGCAAGCATAGTTTTTTAAAGATTACAGTTCAAAAATCAGGTTAAAGGTTTGTTTATTCAAAAACCATGTGGCAATTCTATAATTTACTATTAATAATAATATATTATAAAATTAAATTATACACCACTCTTTAATCCATCCAAAGCCAGATTTATCCCAATTTTGTTTCTCTCTAACCTATCATCTCCCTTCCTTCTTTCTATTAATATATCTCTCTACTTTCTCTCTCTATCATCTTGGCTCTACACTTACTCCTTCTATCATTTCTCTTCTATTCTCTCTGTAAACAGGAAGTGGAAATCAATTTCTAAGATCCCACTTTTCCAATTTTTTTGATTAGGGCTCAAATTGTCACTGTAGCGTTTTTGTGGTGGTTTTGCACTAGCTTATGTGGTAGTTTTTGGTAATATTTGTGGTGGTTTTGCAGCGTGTGGTATTTTTTGAGATGGTTTTGTGGTAGTTTTCAAGGCTTCTTTGTGGTAGTTTTTGAAGTAGTTTGTGGTGATTATTTTTTGAGGTGGTGGTGTTTGTGGTGGTGGTGGTCGCATGTTCAAAGAGTGTATGTCAAGCGCTGTGTTGATATTTGTTGGTGGTGCCTGTAATTATGATAGGTCATGGGTCAGATGTACCAGATCACACGTTATTATGCATTGGTCACATAAATATTCACAGGTTAGAGATCAAATAGAATTGGTCACAGATCATGTTTGTATCTCACAAGTCACACTCCACGGGTTTCCAGGTTATGTTGCATAGATCATAGATTAATGGTCACCATGTGTGGGCCACAGATCAATGTCCACAAGTCACTACAAGTAGGTTATAGATCAATTAAAATTAGTCACAGATCAATGTCCATAGGTCACATATCAATGTCCACATGTCACGGATCAATTAAAATTGTTTATAAATCAATGATCATCACAGGTCATATGTCAAAATGCATAGGTCACAAATCATAAATTCAAGAGAAATACTCACACGCCATTAATATCTCCAATCACAGTTCTCCAAATTGGTCACAAATTTAATTTACCGAATTTTGATGGTGAGAAGTGAAATTATTTGTCCAGTGAGTACTCTGTCAATTTCACAATGTGTTGTTTTTTAATTTTTAATCTTTAAAAAAAAAAAGATTTAAATTACCCCAACAATACTCAGTCGCTGAGGATGCTCAGTCAATGTTATTCAACGGTTGTTATGTTTCTCCCTCTATATCTACTTCCAAGCCGATGATGCTCAGTTTGCCGATATCCATAAAATTTACGTTCAGTTCGCCGCTGAAAAAGTCATTGACAATTTGTCGATTTTATGGATGTTGATAATTGTGACATAAATATTTCGGATCGTATGTAAAAATAGGTTTAACTATATTAAGAAGAGATTCTTTGACAACTTGGTATTATCGATTGTCAATAAAGTGAGAATTTGAGAATAACAACGGATACTAACAATTGAGTCAATTCTTAGCACTACTTTCTTAATTGATTTCTTTCCTTTAGAGATAAATTTTGCACTTAGTTAAAAGTAGTTATAGCCCCTATTTGAGCCACATTTTTATATCATTAAAATGAAAAATATGACCGTTATCCATCACATCAAGTCACCATTTATGAATTTCTATTTCTGGTGTGGGCCCATAACGGCTCTATTTCTCATTCTCATTCTCATTATAATGTGGTTCAAACAGACTCCATAATTAGGATCATAGTTACTAAAGTTCAACTATCGATTGTAACTGGTCGAAGTTAAACTAAACTCTAAATTCTTGTGAGAACGATATTCACTCACTCACTTTTACTATTGCTTATTAATAAAATAACAGAACAAGTTTTTTGCTCAATTACGAGATGAATATATTTAGCTTGAATTTTATTAATTCTTGGAGGAGCATTCACTTTCATTCACTCCCAAATCCAAAACTGAGCAATATATAATTAAGAAGGCACAATAACGACCCTAACCCTGATTGGCCCCATTCTCATTCTCATTTTTTTTGTTCTCTTTTATTTTCAACCACAAAATTTTTCATAAAATAATATTACACACAAATTAAAACTTTTCATTCTTTTTCAACTACACATTTTTTTAAAAAAAAATACTATTCCAACCATTAAAATTTAGAAAAAATTGGGCCAAACGCAGGCTTAAAATTATTGTGGTCAATGAAAAATAAGGAAAGATAAATAAGAAAAATGTGTAATACTACATATATATATAATGGTGTACACTTAACATTATCCAACAAAAATTATATGCTATATCTCATGGAAGCCCGCTCTCACTCATGACCCCGTATAAGGAGAACCCTGGCCAAATAGGAGTCCCCATTTAACTAAATTACAAATCATAACGGTAATTAAATCTTAATATCTTAATCTTAATACGCCTAAATCCAACTGTTCAGAATCGTAGAAATATTCAAATAAAGATTTAACGCCCCAAAATCAAGCCCACAAAAAACTAGCCGTTACAAACCGAGCGTCCAGAGGTTAACGTTCTTCTTTCTCCCCTTCCCTACACTTCTCACAATAAATGAATTCAAGAAAATTCACAGTCCAACCCTAGACGATAATCTCCCAAATTTTCTTTATCTTAATTTTTTTTTTCCTCAATAAAAGCCATTTTGCTGCGAACTTTCTGATGGA